TAGTAGTAGTAGTAGTATAGTAGCAGTAGTAGTAGCATAGTAGTAGTAGCAGTAAGTAGTAGAGTAGCACGTAGTAGTAGCATTATAGTAGTAGCAGTAGTAGCAGTAGCAGTAGTAGTAGTTAGCAGTAGTAGTAGCAGTAGTAGTAGTAGCAGTAGTAGTAGTAGTAGTAGTAGTAGTAGTAGTAGCAGTAGTAGTAGCATATGTAGTATAGTAGTAGTATAGTTAGCAGTAGCAGTAGCAGTAGTAGTAGTAGTAGTAGTAGCAGTAGTAGTAGTAGTAGCAGTAGTAGTAGCAGTAGTAGTAGTAGCAGTAGTAGTAGTAGCAGTAGTAGTAGCAGTAGTAGTAGCAGTAGTAGTAGTAGCAGTAGTAGTAGCAGTAGTAGTAGTAGTCGTAGTAGTAGCAGTAGCAGTAGCAGTAGCAGTAGCAGTAGTAGTAGTAGTAGCAGTAGTAGTAGTAGTAGCAGTAGTAGTAGCAGTAGTAGTAGTAGTAGTACTAGTAGTAGTAGTAGTATCATTATTATTATTATTATCTAAGCTTTGCTAATTTACTTTCACTGTACTTTTATAAGATGTTCCTAAGCGATAGATCCGGATTTTAGTGGACGACTCAGCGGATTCAGAGGGATCCAAGCAGCCAGCTTGACTCTGTTAAAGATGCTGTAGTGTGCACTTGTCCGAGTCACCATTATACCAGCGAGCCACAGGAGTGCCAGGCACTTAGAGTGGCACCTCTTGTTAAGAGTGCCGCTCAGCAGTGCTCAGGAGGACGAGAGAATACGTTTTTATTGTTGTAGAAAGTTTATATGACATAAAAAAATGGATGACTTGACGACGTGTGACGAGAGGCTTCATCAGTCCAGTACAAAGGAGAACAGTGAAAATCATAATGAGTTTGAGGTAATCAGTCCATCAGCCTGGAGGCTATGTAGTTAGTCCATCAATCTTGATAAGAATACATGTTCAGGTAGGTTCTCCAGGACGGGTTCTGGCCCGGGTCTTCTCCATGCGGAGGCCCAGCACAAAAATACAAAATATTCGCGAAGGGGCTTATGTACTGCAGACAGGTGAGGTGAAGCAGACGTAGGTGGCGTCACTGTGGACAATCCACAGGTGGAAGTAGGTCATGTCTATAGCTTAGGCAAGAGTCTCTCCTGCATCAGTATTAATCTTAAACATATCGATAAGCTCTTTGTAGTTTTACTTCTTGTGGCAGTGGCCGTGCGGAGCTGTGTAAGACGCAGCAGTAGATGAGTAGAGTAGAAAATCGTTTCCTGGTCAGGTCGTTGATGGTTGTAGTGGCAGACATGTTGATGTTGTTCTCGCTGACAGCTAAATTATGTGTCTGATTTATCAAATTATCTATTATTTAAAATATATATCAATCCTCATTTTGTACTTTATTAGTACTCCGCTAACTCTTCCCCACGGCACTCCCCACCACTCCCACACGTCACTCACCACCACTCTCCCCGTCACTCCCCACCACTCTCCCACACGTCACTCCCCCACCACCTCAACACTTTCACTCCACCACCACTCTCCACACGTCACTCACCACCACTCTCCACACGTCATCCACCACCATCTCACACGTCACTCCAACACCACTTCCCACGTCACTCCACCCCCCACTTCCACACGTCACTCCACCACCACTCTCCACACGTCACTCCACCACCCACTCTCCACACGTCACTCCACCACCCTCTCCACACGTCACTCCACCCCCACTCTCCACACGTCATCCACCACCACTCTCCACACGTCACTCCACACCACTCTCCCCACGTCACTCCACCACCACTCCCACACGTCACCCCACCACCACTCTCCACACGTCACTCCACACCACTCCCCACACGTCACTCCACACCACTCTCCACACGTCACTCCACCACCACTCTCCACACGTCACTCCACCACCACTCTCCACACGTCACTCCACCACCACTCTCCACACGTCACTCCCACCCCCACTCTCCACACGTCACTCCACCACCACTCTCCACCGTCACCCCACCACCACTCTCCACACGTCACTCCACCACCACTCTCCACACGTCATTTCCACCACCACTTCCACACGTCACTCCCCCACCACTCTCCACACGTCACCCCACCACTCTCCACACGTCACTCCACACCACTCTCACACGTCCCCTCCACCCCACTCTCCACACGTCACTCCCCCACCACTCTCCCCCACGTCACTCCACCACCACTCCCCACACGTCACTCCCACCACTCTCCACACGTCACTCCACCACCACTCTCCACACGTCACTCCACCACCACTCTCACACGTCACTCCACCACCACTTCCACACGTTCACTCCACCACCCTCTCCACACGTCACTCCACCACCACTCTCCACACGTCACTCCACCCCCACTCTCCACACGTCACTCCACACCACTCTCCCCCACGTCACTCCACCACCACTCTCCACACGTTCACTCCACCACCACTCTCCACACGTCACTCCACCACCACTCTCCACACGTCACTCCACCACCACTCTCCACACGTCACTCCACCACCACTCTTCCCCACGTCACTCCACCACCACTCTCCACACGTCACTCCACCACCACTTCCACACGTCACTCCACCACCACTCTCCCACGTCATTTCCACCACCCACTCTCCACAGTCACCCCACCACCACTCTTCCCACGTCACTCCACCAAACCACTTCTCCACCACGTCACTCCACCACCCTCCCACACGTCACTCCACCACCACTCTCCACACGTCACTCCACACCCACTTTCCCCAGGGTCACCCCCACCACTCTCCACACGTCACTCCACCCCACTCTCCACACGTCACTCCACCACCACCCCTCCACCCCCCCGTCACTCCACCACCACTCTCCACACGTCACTCCACCACCATCTCCACACGTCACTCCACCACCACTTTTCCCCCACGTCACTCCACACCACTCTCCACACGTCACTCCACACCACTCTCCACACGTCACTCCACCACCCCCTCTCCACACGTCACTCCACCACCACTCTTCCCACGTCACTCCACCACCACTCTCCACACGCATTTCCACCCACTCTCCACACGTCACTCCACCCCCACTCTCCACACGTAAACTCCACCACCATTTCTCCACACGTCACTCCCCCACCACTCTCCACACGTCACTCCACCACCACTCTCCACACGTCATTTCCACCACCACTCTCCACACGTCACTCCACCACCACTCTCCACACGCACCCCACCACCACTCTCCACACTTTCACTCCACCACCACTCTCCACACGTCACTCCACCACCACTCTCCCACGTCACTCCACCACCACTCTCCACACGTCACTCCACCCCACTCCCCACACGCCCACTCCCCCACCACTCTCCACACGTCACTCCACCCCCACTCTCCACACGTCACTCCACCCCCAAACCTCCCACACGTAAACCACCACCACTTTTCCCCACGTCACTCCACCACACTCTCCACCGTCACTCCACCACCACTCTCCCACGTCACTCCCCACCACTCTCCACACGTCATCCACCACCACTCTCCACACGTCACTCCACCACCACTCTCCACACGTCACTCCACCCACTCTCCACACGTCACTCCACCACCACTCTCCACACGTCACTCCACCACCATCTCCACACGTCACTCCACCCCACTCTCCACACGCCCTCCACCACCACTCTCCACACGTCACTCCCCCACCACTCCCCACACGTCACTCCACCACCACTCTCCACACGTATCACCCCACCCACTCTCCACACGTCACTCCCCACTCTCCACACGTCACTCCACCACCATCTCCACACGTCATCCACCCCCATCTCCACACGTCACTCCACCACCACTCTCCACACGTCACTCCACCACCACTCTCCACACGTCACTTCCACCACCACTCTCCACGTCACTCCACCACCACTCTCCACAGTCACTCCACACCACTCTCCACAACGTCACTCCCCCACACTCTCTCACACGTCACTCCACCACCACTTCCACACGTCACTCCACCACCACTCTCCACACGTCACCCCACCACTCTCCACACGTCACTCCACCACACTCTCCACCGTCACCCCACACCCCCACTCTCCACACGTCACTCCCACCACTTCTCCCACGTCACTCCACCACCACTCTCCACACGTCACTCCACCACCACTCTCCACACGTCACTCCACCACCACTCTCCACACGTCACTCCACCACCACTCTCCACACGTCACTCCACCACCACTCTCCACACGTCACTCCACCACCACTCTCCACACGTCACTCCACCACCACTCTTCCCCACGTCACTCACCACCACTCTCCACACGTCACTCCACCACCACTCCCCACACGTCACTCCACCACCACTCTCCACACGTCACTCCACCACACCCCTCCACACGTCACCCACCAAACTTTTCCCCCCGTCACTCCACCACCACTCTCCACACGTCACTCCACCACCACTTCCACACGTCACCACCACCACTCTCCCAACGTCACTCCACCACCACTCTTCCCACGTCACTCACCACCACTCCCCACCACGTCCTCCACCACCACTCTCCACACGTCACTCCACCACCTCTCCACACGTCACTCCACCACCATCTCCACACGTCACTCCACCACCACTCTCCACACTTCACTCCACCACCACTCTTCCCACGTCACTCCACCACCACTCTCCACACGTCACTCCACCACCACTCTCCACACGTCACTCCACCACCACTCTCCACACGTCACTCCACCACCACTTTCCCACGTCACTCCACCACCACTCTCCACACGTCATTTCCACCACCACTCTCCACACGTCACTCCACCACCACTCCCCACACGTCATCCACCACCACTCTCCACACGTCACTCCCCACCACTCTCCACCGTCACTCCACCACCACTCTCCACACGTCACTCCACCCCCACTCTCCACACTTTAAACTCCACCACCACCTCCCACGTCACTCCACCACCACTCTCCACACGTCACTCCACCACCACTCTCCACACGTCACTCCACCACCACTCTCCACACGTCACTCCACCACCACTCTCCACACGTCACTCCACACCACTCCACACGTCACTCCACCACCACTCTCCACACGTCACTCCACCACCACTCTCCACACGTCACTCCACCACCACTCTCCACACTTCCCACTCCCCACCACTCTCCACAGTCACTCCACCACCACTCTCCACACGTCACTCCACCACCACTACCCACACAAACTCCACCAACCACTCTCCACACGTCACTCCACCCCACTCTCCACACGTCACTCCACCACCACTCTCGCACGTCACTCACCACCACTCTCCACACGTCACTCCCCCACCACTCTCCACACGTCACTCCACCACCACTCTCCAACACACTCACCCACCACTCTCCACACGTCACTCCACCACCACTCTCCACACGTCACTCCACCACCACTCTCCACACGTCACTCCCCCACCATCTCCACACGTCACTCCACCACACTCTCCACACGTCACTCCACCACCACTCTCCACACGTCACTCCCCCACCACTCTCCACACGTCACTCCCCCCACCACTCTCCACACGTCACTCCACCACCACTCTCCACCACGTCACTCCCACCACCACTCTCCCCCACTTCCCCCTCCCACCACCACTCTCCCCCAGTCACTCCACCACCACTCTCCACACGTCACTCCCACCACTCTCCACACAACACTTCCCACCAACACCCTCCACAAACACTCCACCAACAGCCCCCTCCACACAACACCCCACCAACAGCACCCTCCACACAACACTCCACCAACCCCCCCCACACACCTCCACCAACAACACCCTCCACACAACACCCCACCGCAACCCTCCACACAACACTCCACCAACAACACCCACACAACACTCCCCCAACACCTCCACACAAACACTCCACCAACACCCTCCACACAACACTCCACCAACACCCTCCACACAACACTCCACCAACACCCTCTACAAAAACACCCCCACCAACACCCTCCACACAACACTCCACCAACCCCCTCCACACAACACTCCCACCAAAAAACACCTCCACACAACACTCACCAACACCCTCCACACAACACTCCACCAACACCCTCCACACAACACTCCACCAACAACACCCTCCACACAACACTCCACCAACAACCCCCTCCACACAACACTCCACCCACACCCTCCACACAACACTCCCAACAACACCCTCCACACAACACTCCACCAACCCCCTCCACACAACACCCCACCAACAACACACTCCACACAACACTCCACCAACACCCTCCACACAACACTCCACCAACAACACCCTCCACACAACACTCACCAACACCCTCCACACAAAAACTCCACCAACAACACCCTCCACACAACACTCCACCAACACCCTCCACAAACACTCCCAACAACACCCTCCACACAACACTCCACCAACACCCTCCACACAACACTCCACCAACAACACTCCACACAAAAACTCCACCAACACCCTCCACACAACACTCCCCCAACAACACCCTCCACACAACACTCCACCAACACCCTCCACACAACACTCCACCAACAACACCCGCCACACAACACTCCACCAACACCCTCCACACAAAAACCTCCACCAAAAAACACCTCCACACAACACTCCACCAAAAACACCCCCACACAACACTCCACCAACAACACCCTCCACACAACACTCCACCAACAACACCCTCCACACAACACTCCACCAACAACACCCGCCACACAACACTCCACCAACACCCTCCACACAACACTCCACCAACAACACCCTCCACACAACACTCCACCAACACCCTCCACAACACCACCTAACAGTGGCCGGGTAATAAGTCTCATCCTTTGCTTCCTCAGATTCCGAGGTTTCCGGGAGCTGGCAGGAAGACTCACTCTTGCAGAGTGTCTTGACGAGTGCCTCGAGGAGAGGTCCTTCCCCTGCCGCTCCGCCATGCACTCTGAATACTCCCAAGTGTGTAGACTCTCTGAGTACGACCAACTCAACGGCAGACTGGTCCCAGACCGCGAGTACAATTACTTCGAGAATCTCATGGGTAAGTGTTCCCTTGGAGCAACTCTCCCCTTCCTCTGATGACTGGCTCTTGATCCAAGAAATTGGAGTTTTCTTACCTTTAAAGAACAAAACAAACACAGTAACGTGGCAATATATGGTCCGAAATTGACTATTAACAAAGTCACATGTGCCCTATGTGCGGGTTATTTGTGTATTTTCTTCTCCTTCCTCGAATCAACCTCTACAAAGGGAGTTTAGTATTTATGCAAAAGCATTAAACCAGAATGGGCCCTTCAAGAGACGATGGGAGAGAGTGAGGGAAGTGCAATAAAGATAATAGAATTCCTGTCAACAGTTAGATATCCTTATTCCGAAACGTTTCGCCTGTACAGTAAGCTTCTTCAGTCGAGTACAGACGATGTCAGCAGTCTGTCACCTTTGAAGACGTGGTTTTGAGGTGGTCAGTCCCTCAGCCTGGAGAAGAGTTTTGTCCCATAGTCTGGAAAAATATTCTTGGCTATGGAACAAAACTCTTTAAACCATCAAAACTGCGTCTTTAAGAGTGGTGGACTGATTACATCATCTTCACATCTCTACGGCTTCTGCAAACTCCTCTGTACTCGACTGAAGAAGTCTACTGTGTAGGCTAAACGTTTCGATATAAAGGCACCTGACTATTGCATATATGGCTTACTAATCATCAGCTTTATATACATCTCTGGTAAAGCCTCATTTAGATTATGATGCTCAGTTCTGGTCTCTATATTACCGCATGGACATTAATACGATGGAAATTTTGCAGAGAAAGCTTAGGAAGCTGATTCTGTGTATTAAGAATATTTTTCCAGTTCTTGTGCGGAACTGTGTTGAAAGCTTTCTTGCAGTTCAAGATAATACAGTCTACCCACCCCTCTCTTTCTTGTCTTCTGTCACCTTGTCGTATAACTCCAGTAGATTTGTGACGCAGGATTTCCCTCCCTGAAACCGTGCTGGATATCGTGTATTGTTTCTTTTCTTTCTAGGTGCTCCATCAGTCTTTTGAAAGCAATGAACTTGAATTCTTTGGAAATAAATAGAATTAGGGGAAATATGAGTGAGGTGTACAAATGGAAAACAAGACTCAATTGAGGGGAAATTTAGAGAAATTTAGAGAAATTTAGAATTAGAAAGGATATTGGGAAGCACTAACTTGGCAGTAAAGTTGTAGATGAGCAGAACAAACTACCAGGTAGTGTCATTCAGGCAAGAACTTCGGATAGTTTTAAAAATGAGTTGGTCGGGTACATGAGTAGGTGTGGGTGGGTGTGAGTTTGACTTGCCTAGCGTGGGCCAGTAGACCTGCTGCAATGTTCCATCGTTCTTATGAAATAGTGAGAAGGAGGGAGGTAAAGAGAGAGAGAGAGTCAGAGAGAGATAAAGGGAGATAGAAAAGCATGTTACCTCGCTCAACTCACAACCCAAAGAACGTGAGGTCGAATCCCACATGAGGTGGACGCAGCTCCTGTTACCTAACAGTAAATAGGCACTTTAGTGGTACAAATACGTCGGTATAAAAACTCATGTCATAGGAGAGTTCTGGTACCGTTGTTCATAAACAATTTAGTTTATAAGAGATGGTGTAATGGAGGTGTTCCACTGTATGTATGGTATAAATGAATGTATGAGACGGCTGTAACCACTCCAGGTGCTGTATGATCCTTCATATGGATGTATGAAGCAGCCGTAATCACTCATTGCTGTGAGAGAGAAAGAGAGGAGAGAGAGAGAGAGAGAGAGAGAGAGAGAGAGAGAGAGAAAGTAAGGTGATGAGCGAGGTCTCACTATCTCACATGACTGACTCTTCTTGGTGTCGCTGTAGAGAACCTGATGGTGACCCGCACGGCCTCTGGGTCATCAGACACCGGCGTGGTAGTGGCAGGAGGCAGAACCAGTGTGTCTGCTGAAGACCAACCTACAGACGGAGTGGACGAAGCAGGTCCAGGCAGCGCAGGTCAGACCGGAGCCAGCCGTCCGGGCGTGGGAACTCGCTTTCCCGGGGACCGAACGGACAGCGATGCCGGCAGTGGCGCCAGCGATATCGGAGGCACTGGTGGGAGAGTTAGTTTCTCAGCTGCCGAAGGCAGCAGAGGCGCCGGGGGCACCAACAGATTTGGAGACAGCAGTGAAAGCAGGTTCGGAGATGGGAATAAGTTTGGAGACAGCAGGTTTGGAGTGAACAGAGGCAGTACTGACTCTAGCTTCGTCACCCTCGGCGGGAGAGGAAATGGCGACGGAGAAAGTCGGTTCCGACCGCTCAGTCCGTCGCGCCCTGTAGGCACGCCACAGCAAGACCAGCCGGGAATCTTCCGACCCGTTAGCACTGACCTCACCAGAGAGTTCGCCGGGGGTCGTGGGGCGCTGAACAGAGTCTTCGGGAGCGGTCGGCAGACGGACGCTGGATCACGAATCCTAGGTGCCCTAGGAGCGGTGGGGGTAGGGGTAGCAGGCGCAGATGATCCACTGTCTACCATGGAAGGTACTCGCATGGTACACATGTCTTCAGTCTGCCTGAATGCTGCCTCCTGTGCATGACGCGGCGCTCACAACACGGAACAATAAGTGCATGGAACTGTAACACGAATACGAAGTATAACTATGCGTGCATGACGTTAAGCTCGGCTTATCAAGAGATTTGTGCATGGAACTCTTACAGACGCCACTGAAAATACATCAGACTGTGCATGGATGGTCCAATATTTGTAATTAACAGCTTTACAGTGTTAAATATTTTAGAAAAGCTTTAGTTCGCCTGCTCTGCATGCCTAAAATATAGTTTAAAGTATATATTTAACACAGAAGGTGACGCCACGTGACCAGAGAAAGTTTACATTAACAACAGTGAACTTCCACACCTTGCATGATATCCGCATGTTGCGTGCATAGTCGTTCTTATTAACCAGTTATCCATTTCACCCCACTTACAGAATGCATCTTAACAAAGACCTTACTGATAACTAGTCAATATTCTTGGCTGCCGACGACACGTTTTCTACGGTCAGACGTTTTCACTACTGACGTTTTGACTCTTCTGGTTTGTCTCGGGTTTGTCTTTTAATCTGGAAGAGATGGACAATATTTTTATTTTTATTTTTGTTGTTATGATCACCAATCACTAACTCACCACCTAACACACTCACCCATAAACGCATTCACCACACAACACATACTACTCCACCATCCCATTAATAACGACATTCACCACGACACTCACTACCTCATTAATAACCATAACATCTGCACAAACCATTATATCAACTACATTCCACAAGACATAACTCAGCAATAATTATACCACTAATATCATTAAACTCCCACTTAAATTAAGTTACTTTGCACTCAATTACATACCTCTTAATCCACCTCATGTCGATTAGTTATCCAAGTCACTATCATTACAAACAATTTTTGAGTGCGAACTATGTAATCACAGAAGACGATAACGTCTGTAATGTAGAATTTGCTGATTCAGATATGGAGACCCTTCAGAGACTTAACGTATGCAGGTCCTGCCTTGGTTCTTGCTTAGTTGTTTTCTGTTACTCTCATCTGAATTATCACTAAACTCATTCCTTAAGCTAGATATAATTGATCTATTGATAACGTTTCGCCCAACGAAGTGGCTCAGGTCCACCTTGTATGGTATTGTTTCCTTTAGTTTCCTCTCATCTGAATGCCTGTGATGGGTGAGTCAGATTCTCCTTGTATGTTACCACTGTTCCTCTGGTGTTTATCTGCTTTTGTGATTTGTTTATGTGCGGTGTATCTTATAATGTAAATTATTGGATGTGTCCATAGTGACTGTGTGGCAACAAGACAATAAGGGGATGTAGTGAGGAGCAGTGCAGACTATCGACGTTGCTTCATTCAGGAACGAGGCTTGCTAAGTCTTGCTTATAAGAGAGATCGTCTACAATAAAGACTTGATCTGCATTTCGTCTCTATAGTCGGTGGGTAGATGCTTGCCCAGGACGAGGGGAACATACTTCATGGTGTGGATCGATGCTATAAGCAAGACACAACAGTTGTTGGGTCTTGGTAAGGTTCCTTTCAGATAGTCTGGTGAACAAGTGAACTGGTCATGGCGACTCGCAGAGCTGCCTGAGTCACAGTCGCCTCCAGCACTAACAAACATGTCTTTAACACCCAACTCAAAAATCGTCTACTTCAAGCACATCTTTCTCATCTATCAGATACATCTTCACTATGAAATTTCAATAAACGCCCTTCGTCACAGTAACAGAGTCAGGAAAAATATCTCTACACGTCCACAACCATTGTTCTCTCTCTCTCTCTCTCTCTCTCTCTCTTTTATATATATTATATATATATATATATATATATATATATATATATATATATATATATATATATATATATATATATATATATATATATATCTTTTTCTCTCTATTTGTTTATCTATCTTCAGCAGTCACCACCAAACACAGTGACCTCCACCACCCAAATGTCCCCACTACCTAAACATATGTCCCCACCACCACCACCACCACTATCACCACCAATACAGTATCTCACGTATCAGTAGATCAACACCCACACCATCACCACAACTCCCCCACACATCAGTGTCACCCCCTCCACCACGTTCTCGCACAGTTGTAGGAACAGCGTGGGCGGCGGCAGTTGGAACAGTACCTGCAGTAGCCTTTTACTGACCACCCACATGCTCCGGTCCCCGCTTTTCAGGAGCGAACCGCGACGTTGATATTTCAGGAAGTGACTTTGGGGTGGGCGGCGTAGGAAGCGTGGGTGGCATAGGAGGCGTGGGCAGCGTGGGCGGCGTTGGTGTCCTAGGAGGCGTGGGCGGCGTAAGAGGCGTGGGCGGCGGAAGAGGTGTAGGCGGTGTGTCCTTCCCTGGAGGTGGCCACCCACATCCACCCTTCAGTGGTCCAGGAACCGGGATCGCGTCCCGATGCGTCGGCTCCGAGAATTTCGAACCGGTTGGAACGAGGATGCGGCTCCGGGCGCCCTACATCCGCGACTTCGAGAGCGTCAACTCCGTCAGTGAATGTAAGAGGGCGTGCCTGGAGGAGCGCTCCTTCACCTGCAGGAGCTTCAATTATAGGTGAGTGTATACTGGTATTACACATGTGTTTACCCACACCTGCTGAGTGTAAGTTCCAAGTTGTTATACCTGTTTATCTTGATGCAAGCAGAATGTTATGCTTGTTTCTATCGCCTGTACACTAACCATTAAGGAAGCATTTAATATTTACTCAAGCATTAGGAATGTTTAAATTTTTAAAAGGAGTTATTTGAAGCCCTTAACACCTTTAGAAGTGTTTAATACCAAGTACCCTTGAATTCACCTTTTACCTCCATCGATAAATCTTTTTTTTCCACAGAAACCAAACACTCAGCCTAACTTTATTTCCCCTCATTTATTCTGTGGTTCACCTCGTGTTATAATAACCATTCTTCGAGTGTTCGCACAGTAACCAATACTTCACGTCCTACTATTTCCCTTTAACTGTGGTCCTGCCAGGCTCTAGGAATGTCAATAAGACACGATAACGGTTATGGAGTTATTTAGAAGATGTTTCGCCCACGGGATTATCGTGCTGGTGCGAAACGTCCCTAACAATTGCCATAAACCGTTTAAGTCTTTCCATGTATTATCGGCTCCAGGTTCGACAGACCTCAGGATAACTGTGAATCTCGGAGAGACACAAAAATCCTTCCGCCTCACAACAGGCTTCACTTCGAGACGGACGCAACGCCGCTACTAACAACGTTCGGCAGCAGAACTCCGACTTGCCTTGATGTAGCCCAACTCATTAATAAATACAAAAGGCACAATACCGTGACGAACGATCACAAATAACCCGCACAAAAGACACAGAAGCTACGACGACGTTTCGGTCGACTGGCCATGACAAGTCCACACTGTGACTTGTCACGTGTGACAAAGTGTGACAAAGTACAGGGTGACTTTGTCAATGGTCAGTCGGACAAACGTCCGAAGCTTCTGTCTTTATGTGGGTTATTGTACCCAAACCTCATTCCCTTTACAATATGAGCATACAATACCGACGAGATGAGGAAGGAGTCACATATACAACACTTGGGTATCTTTATTCGAAGATGTTTCGCCAACCAGAACAGAATATCTCATCTTAAACTAAAAAAGGCACTGGTTGGTGAAAAGTCTACGATTAAAGATGTTCAGTTCCTCACCTCATTACTCATGTCTATCTACGCTCACTATAGGATAAAGAAGTTTCTTTTTTTCTGTTACGAAGGAATCCTGCACTCGCAGCTTCACGACTAACCTTGCTATCGCATTTTAAGGAACTAGATGTCTACGGAAAAGAGTGCAGACTACAAGTTAGTGTGAGGAAAAGACGAGCTTCGTTCCAGACCGCAGCGGACCGGAGTCGCCGTTGGCGAGGCTAACTAATTTAATATCGGCAGCCAGAAGTAGCGTGGAACCGATGCCATCAACTCTGTTTACACCGATGTATAGCCCTTGTTGCTTAGCGCTTCTTTTTGATAATAATAATAATAATAATCTGTTTACACCATTCACTCCCCATAAGGAAGGTTCTTGATGCCAGTGAAGGGGCTCTTGATCAAAAGAATTGGACGTTAACCTTCCCGCCCTTGGACTGAACCTGATTGCCTCCCATTTCCCCAGGCTCTGTTTGGACCCTTTAGGGTTTAGCGTTCCCCCTAACCCCTCAGGAGCGTAGTAATAATAATAATATTTAGATTGTCCCCAGTTTTTTTCTGAGAACCATGAACTGTGGCTGCCTACTCTGCCATACTAAGCGCACCAACCTACTTATTTTTCTACGAGTTCAGTTTACTTTTTTCAGTACTATAAGAAATTGCTGGTTAACTATCTTGGTGGTTAATGGGTGGTGGACCTCGAGCGTCAAACGGAGCATCATATATGTACTGAATTTGCCTGAAGTTGTTTGTTGTGCTACAGGTGTTTGTGTCTCCAGGGCGACCATCCTCACTGACGTATGATCCTCACGTCTTGTTTCCGGCTCGTTGTTGATACCTAATTGAAGTAGCGGACACGTGGTAGTAAGATACATACAGCAAAAGGAAAACTTTATTAGCCTCGTGTGGTTGAAATGTCGCAATAATGAAGGCCTTTTGCTGTATGTGTGTTGATAGTCTGTTATATAAGTAGCAGAAGCTTTATCTAAAGGGCTGGTAAGTGTGTAGCTTACACACACACACACACACACACACACACACACACACACACACACACACACAAACACGTCAGTTTTTGTTTATTCTCAGTGGAAGTAGCGGCTGGCGCTGTTGCCTCACTACCCAGGAAATTACACTACCTCACTAACTTCACACTAACATTCCTTGTCGGATCTGTAGTGCACCGACCTTGTTGTCTTGAAAGAGAATCAAATGCTGAGGTAACCCACGTCTTGGTAGATACAACGTTTCACCAAAGACTTGACTTTATCAAATATGACACTTAATAAAGCGCTGAATTAGAAAAAAATCTCTGCTACCAGTGTCTGCATTTCTCTCCCACATCTTGGTTTATTGTGCCAACGTCAAAACAAACATGACAACAGATCACCAAACGAAAGCACAAGTAAACCACAGAATGGGTGAGATTTAAACCAGTGATAAATGAGTTTTAAACTCACTTGCCATGGGATCAAACCCCACCCAGTTTCGTGGTTCGTTTGCAATCGTGTTATTACGATTTCGTGAGTCATGAAACTATAAATGATACGAAATAATCACTAGACGACGCATAGCACTGAATTTATTCTCCAGAGCTATGATATAGAATTACATTAAACTGCTATCACATCTCATTATGCAAGAGGCCCAGATCCTGTGAATGTTAGTCGACTGTTGTGGGTGACATCCTGGCTAGGATGACCTCGATAAGTTACCTGACTTCCTGTCTGCAACGCATACATACTAAATTAGGTGCATTCACCTCAAAAACACGCAAAAAGTCGCCAGATTATTTCAGCACTATATCCCTAATATAAATAAATCAGATAGTTATTTTCAAACATAATTGGATACATCAGCAGTGTGCTGCTACGCTATTCTATGTAACAGTTTCACACTAGTTGTGAACTACAGCTAACCAGCACCCGGTGGCCATGTGCCTAAAGCTCCGCTCACACACGGAGGGCGGGTTTCGATTCACCGGCGGGTGGTAAACATTTCGAACGTTTCCTTACACTGTGTCCTGTTTACACCTAGCAGCAAATAGGTTCCTGGTGTAAAGGTCTGATCGGTGTGGGTCGCATCCCTGGGGAAAGATTAAGGACCCCAATGGAAATAAGTAGAAAGTCTCTGATGAACGCACTGAACTTTTTTGGGTTATCCTGGGTGGCTAACCCTCCGGGTTAAAAATCCGAACGAAATCTTATCTTATCTATTCTTACGCTAGGATGGGCCTCATCCAGAGTTTGAAATCTGTCAATCTGAGAAGAGGAGAGTGAGGGCGATGAGGTGGGTTTCCTGGGTAAATCCACAATGTTGCTCCAGTATGGATAATACGTAAAAATGGTTTATTGGTTTAAACCCGTATCTGAAATAAATCTTACTTCAGAATGTTTTCAAGCATTCCCAACAAGGGGTTTGATGAGTTATGACAGCTTCAAAGGTTTGATTCCAGCGTAACTGGAGTTACTATCACCCGGGAATTGCCATCTTTCACGACAGCCTGTCCGATACACAGAAGAAATAATAATTATAATAATGATAATAATCTTTATTTCTACAAGTACATGATACAATTTATACAGACCATAGCTGACATAAATGACATAGTATATAGAAACCCCCTTTTTATGCAGTTTTGTCCCCAGGATGCGACCCACATCAGTCGGTTAACACACAGGTACCTATTTACTGCTAGGTGAGCAGGGACAGCAGCTGTCTTAAGGCAAGATGCCCAAATGTTTGCACCCGTACCGGGGATCGAATCACGGACCTCAGTGTGTGAGCTGGGACATCGAAGGATAGGGCTTTATTGGGGTTTGCTAACCCACTGGTTAAATAATGCTTACTTAACACTGTCTTCTCAGTGAGGGTTACATCTCTCCACATGTAGACGTGACAACAGCACCGATTACTGTTTCCATAGCACAGATAAATAAATTATTGGCATCTTAAACAAGCCTATAACTCTGATAAGCATTTTATCCCCTTTCACGCACTTTTTTTCCGACTTCAGGTACAACCTGGGTAGACGCTGTCATTGACAACCGAATCTTCAGCTTTTTCTAAAGTTAATCATTACTTGTTGACAGTTTTCTTTGGATGCAGAAGTAAAGAAAATGGTTGCATGTCGCACTTGGTTTCCGCACTAACTCAACCATCACTGAGCGATGTGCATGCCTGGAAATATGCAGTAATTGCATGATCATGGCATGCTAATTGTTTGGATATATTTCATGGTCACGGGATTAAGGGTTGGCAGAAAAGTAAAAAAAAAATTTTTTAAATATAAAAAATGCTGACTAATCCAATAAAAAATTCTTATTTTCAAGTTCATTGTTAAAATTTGATTTATATTATGGTGCTGAAAACGTAAAGATTTAATGTTAATCTTGGCATTGTTTGCCACGTCTTAAATGTTATAAAAAAAAATGTTATATACGTTTATTTCTTGACTGCTCATGTTAATTATCGAAATTTTCTCTTTTCCCCAATTCCTTTTCCATTTACCCACATCTCTTGTGTCTTATTCACCGCCTTGCCTCATTATCCACCTTTTCCACTTGCTTTCCTTATTATTATTCTTTCACCTGTTCTCTTCTTTATTATTCCCTTCATTATGATTGTGTTCCACTCTTTATTATCTTCGAATTCTTTGCATTTCTCTCTGATTTTTATTTTTCATCTTTTATCTTCACTCCTTCCCTCATTCCTCTCTTGTGTTTCTCCATCCCACTATTCCTCCCACCACTCCTCCATCCCACTATTCCTCCCACCACTCCTCCATCCCACTATTCCTCCCACCACTCCTCCATCCCACTATTCCTCCCACCACTCCTCCATCCCACTATTCCTCCCACCACTCCTCCATCCCACTATTCCTCCCACCACTCCTCCATCCCACTATTCCTCCCACCACTCCTCCATCCCACTATTCCTCCCACCACTCCTCCATCCCACTATTCCTCCCACCACTCCTCCATCTCACTATTCCTCCCACCACTCCTCCATCCCACTATTCCTCCCACCATTCCTCCATCTACGGACAACAGTGACCCAGCAGTGCACGGAGGATGGCATGGAGTTCAACCTACGTACGGAGGAGCCCTTCCGTGGGCGTATATATACGTACGGTTACTACGACCGCTGCTTCACCCGCGGCTCCGGCTCCACGGTCACGGTGCTCAAGATCTCCGGTGCCAGGGGCATCCCCGAGTGTGGCACCATCAAGGTGAGGCACTTCAGAGACAAAGGTGCCTTGATGCTGGTGAAGGCGCTTTTCATTCAATATACATTAGAGTTAGAGTGTCAAGTATTCAGTATACATCAGAGTTACAACGTCAGTATTCAGTATACATTAGAGATACAGCATTCAATATTCAGTATTCCTCAAGAATTTAATCCACTTATGTTTGAAAAAAAATCAATATAGTTCGCTCTATTCAATGCACTGTATTTACCACAGGAGATAACTGGGAATCAGTTAGTCCACTGCACCCTCTGGACCTGGGTTCAGTCCTAGTCAGTAAATAGATACCCAGGAGTTAGCCTGGACTTATGGATCACAATGGAAATAGGTTACAGTGCTTGGCTTTTTTGGGTTTATCCTGGGTTATTAACCCTCCGGGATTAGGAATCTGAATAGTCCTCTGTCATGTTACACTAACCCTGACTTCTACACCACAGTACGCAGACACCACCACAAACATCGTAGTGGTCCAGTTCTCTGACAACGTGCAGACCTCCCTCGACAAGCGGTACAACCTCACCTGCACCGTGGTGGGTCCAGGGGAGGCTGTCGTCACCTCAGGCTACATCGGTGCAGGGTAGGTCATCCAGGGATACCCTAGGTGACATAAGTTAATTCTAGGTCACCCAGGACCATTGTGAAGCATGTGTCGTGATGCTAAGAGTTCTGCATTATTCTTATATTTAGAGAGGAGTGCTGGACCTACAGGGGTCATGCAACACCTGGGGAATGAGAGGCAATTGGGCTTGATCCAAGGAAGCAGAGGACAGTCCCAATTCCTTGAAATCTTCAGAAACTGTTTGTCTTACGTTCGTGTCGTTTAATCTCAGAGTGGTAGATCAAAATAATGAATTACAAGAGGAAATCATTGGATATATTATATATATATATATATATATAATATAATATATATATAATATATATAAATTATATATACAACACTGCACTAGCCAAGGACTCGAACCCATGCTGCTTTGGCCTGCCTCATGGTGGGCGAAAACTCATGGAGCCCTACTCCACTGGATCATACGATCCTTAGGAATCGATATATATATATATATATATATATATATATATATATATATATATATATATATATATATATATATATATATATATATATATATATATATATATATATATATATATATATATATATATATATATATATATATATACAGTATATATATATGTATACGAATAGATGGTTATCACATATGTAATTAACTTAATAATTTTAAAAATGTTGGATTGAAGATGATATTAAGCAAAGACAAATCAAAGATCATAAACCAGGGAACGGTTGGGGCTTCAACCCATGGCAAGTGAGTCCTGCAACTCACAGGCCAGTGCGTTAACCACTGGGCCAGCTGGATCTAATAAGTGAATTTTACGACTCACTCACCATGGATCCAAACCCCCACCCATTCCCTGATTTGTTTGCAATCGTGTTATTACGAGTTCGCGAATCAGAGATCATGTTTGTCTATGTCATGGTGAATCCTACGATGTTATGTGAATTTCCTCAGATCAAAAGTTATTTATCCTTGCCTGAAATTTCCGGAATCAATTCAGGGTCAATTTCAGGTTCTAATTCTAATTATTTTGAGTTCAACCTAGAGACCATCTAATACCCTGAAGGTCGACCTTCCTAACTTGTACGTGGGTACACGTTACATTATGTTTTCATGACTTGTGGGAGAGATCAAATAAAAACAAGAAACAATGTACATTAAGTCAATGTCACGATTCACTACTCACAATTCTTCTATTTTTAACAACACGTATTTTGTCATTTTTATTTCCTTCATGACCCTTCAGGAAGGATGTCTTGGTGATGGTAAAGGACTCTTGGCCCGAGGAATTGAAGCTCGTCTCCCATTCCTTGTATCAAACCTGATTACTTACGCACTCTTTCCGGATAAAAATAACATTAATAATAAATATTAGTAATGGTAATAATAATATTATCATTTTATTATTATTACTATTATTATTATTATCATTATTATTATTATTATTATTATTATTATTATTATTATATTATTATTATTATTATTATTATTATTATTATTATTATTATTATTATTATTATTATGAACTCTGCGTCTGCCTGTTGTCAGGTCTGGGGCGCCGACCCCTATCGAGTACCTGCCTGCTGAGAACCAGTTACAGTCAAAGGTGCGCCTGCAGATCATGTACGGTGGGCGGCCCACCACAACCATCGCTGTGGGTGACCCACTCACCTTCAAACTGGAGTCTCAGCGAGGCTTTAACCTCGTCTCGGATATCTTTGCCACCAACGTGGTAGCCAAGGATCCTTACTCCGGCAGGAGCGTCGAACTCATTGATAGCAGAGGGTGAGTGCTTGTTTCTCTCTCTCACTCTCTCTCTCTCTCTCTCCTCTCTTCTCTTCTCTCTCTTTCTCTCTCTCTCTCTCTCTCTCTAGGAGTCTTACCTGACCAAACGTTTCGTCTACGCTGCAGGCTTCATCAGTCGAAAATCTGGAGAAAGATCCTTCGCTCATGTTAAGAAATATCAAAATAATTCATTTATAATGACTTGCGAAATTTCTCAGTACATTCAGTAACTTTTTGCCTACCATAAATAACTCATGACTACTGTTACAGAATTAATCAACAGAGCGCCTTGACTGATTCCATCTAAAAAAATGTGTATTCGTAACGTATGGAATATTTCATTGTAATGTTTACGTAACTGAAATCATTACTCATGTTGCCAGCTCGCTGCTTTTGTAACAGAATACATTATTCTTGCAAATCGTTCATCATCATTGCAATCTCCTTAGCTTATAGAATTTTGGACTTCAGCCCTTGGATCAGTTACGTGGCTCTGTAATCTTTTGGCAACCACACACACACATGATGGGTATAAAGTAAATACCGCCCACAGGAAGAGTATAAGGCGAAAACTGCTTGCTGGATGGTTATGGTGAGGTAATCAACGCCCACGGAATGGGTACGAGGATAACCACCGACCATTGAATGAATATATGGCTGCATAATAAAGACATCAAAACTGTTTCATTGATGCCCCAGCAACCTCTCTGAACCATAAGATTTACTTACCTCTCTGCAGGTGTCCCGTGGACAACTACGTCTTTCCGGCGCTTGGCAAGGGCAGGGACGGAGACGGTCTGGAAGCCCGCTTCAACGCTTTCAAGATCCCCGAAGCCAACTTCCTTATCTTCGAGGCTAACGTCAGGACCTGCCGCAGAGGCTGTGAGCCGGTGAGTAACCATCCTACTCTTCCTCGCCAGTGTCATAATTTCCCTGGTGATGTTATTAGTTAGAAGATAATCAAGTCGGAGGCAAGACACGCGACAGGAGAGTTTTAGTTATGAGAAATAAATGGGAGTAGGTCAGGGGTTTCCAACAGAGTTAGAGCCAAGGAAGGAGTAGCAATAACGTTGAAGGAAAAAACGGAATGTAAATATATAAATTCAATGATTATGTGGAGTAAAATAAGGGTCGGATGTGGAAAGTGTGTTACACCAACATGGGGAACGCAATATGGGGAATGAATTGCAATAAGGGAATGCAATATGGGGAATGAATTCGATCCATATCAGCCACCTGAGATGGATCGAATTCATTCCCCATATTGCATTACCCTAAATGTTGCATAAACTCCACTACTTATTCTGTAACAGGCGCGGTGCACACTGGGAAAGGGACGAGACGACGCTGTATCCTACGGTCGCAGACGACGAGGTGCTGGAGACGACCTTGAGACGCAGACTATCCTCCCTAAGGACAACGATGATGACGATGAGAACAGCGAAGATGAGGGTCAGGTTCACGGCATCTACGAAGTAAGTCAACCTTCTTCCATCGGTGACACATAATTCTTTCCTTATCTTCATACCGTTTTCTCCTCCTGATCTCTGACGAACCAGGCTGTTGGTGCAAGCAGCTAAGATGTATTGCCTCGCATAATTGTACCTTTCCGTTGGTGATTGCAGGTGTACCTCTCTCGGGAGGAGATTGACGAGCAGGCTTTGACGCAGACACCGCTGCAGGAGGTGTGTCTAGGCAGTTCTGAGTATTATAGCCTCATCGTAGCCCTCGTCATCACGGTTGCCTGCCTCGTCGCCTCCCTCTTATGCGTCGCCTTCTGCTTCAGGTAAGAAATGTAGTCCCAATTTTTAAGAAAGGAGACAGACAGGCAGCATTAAACTACAGGTCAGTGTTGCTGACATGTACAGTATGTAAAGTAATGGAGAAGATTATCAGAAGAGTGGTGGAGCACCTTGGGGGAACACCTAGGTGGAGCACCTAGGTGGAGCACCTAGACAGGAACCGGCTCATACATGAAAGTCATCTATACCCCACTACAGTTCCTTCTACTTATTTCCAAGGAGAGATCACCCTCTTATTGTATTTTACTCTCATAAATTTTAATTAAAAATGAAAATCTCATTAGAATATACAAGATAAGACACTTTTACTCTAAATTAATGCTATTTTCAACCCAAAATATCTAATAGCTGAAAAATCTAAGAAAAAATGCAAAAAAAAAAAAATCATTGAAGAAAAGTGGAATTATTGATGACAACGAAATAAAATATATTCCAATTATTCTCTGCCATAGGAAACACAGACAGCTGGACTTAAAGAACGCAGCTGCTGACGCAGGGAACCCGTACCACCAGCAGCAACTGCAGCAGCAGCAGCCACAGCAGCAACACCTGCAGCAGAAGAGCAAGTTCTCCTTCCCTGGCTCACACCCCAGGACCCTCACACAGCCCGCCAGGCAGGTGTAAGCTAGCGCAAGTCCAGTGAGATATCTTTCATCACCCCGCCCCCCCCCCCATGCCCGCACCCTCGATAAAGCCAAGTGGGTCATTTAGGTGGTAGTAGTGGAGGCTCGACCCTCCATCCCGCCACATCTGTCCTCCCCCACCCAGCCTCCAAAAGTTGCTTATGGAATAATAACAAATTTATTTTAAGTAGACCAGACTGATGATCTTGCTGTTACTGAAGATGAAATCTCTGTTACAGTAGCAACAGGTAGATAAAACCCCTGTTGTTGCTGTGTATATATATATATATATAATATATATTATATATATTATATATATATATATATATATTATATATATATATATATATATATATATATATATATAATATATAAAATATATAGGATGGGGTCCACCTCTGGTGTAAATTGTGGGACCCATAGCCTCGGAGAAGTGGATAAAAAGGCTTCAAGGAAGAATATTTGGATTTCTTCCTGTATATATATATATATATATATATATATATATATATATATATATATATATATATATATATATATATATATATATATATATATATCTTTTCTATCCACTTTTTCTTGGTGATTCCAACACTGGCCACACAGGATGTATACACAGTGTGCGCCTCTCGCTGTATATGTATACTGGTAGTTTAATTCCTGTTCTAGGGATTAAATTATTATTATTATAATCAAAAAGAAGCGCTAAGCCACAAGGGCTATACAGCTCTAGGGATTAAAGTATTCTTGTCTGGTGGTGTAAAGGTTACGTGCAGCCTTAATGACCTCTAGTGTAGTAGATAATCTTGAAACTCTAGTAGCCAACCTACTACACTAGAGGAAAATAAACACGAAGGCGTTCACTTAGGACACTTTTATTAAAGGAGTTTCGGTCCTGAGACATTGAGTTGTCCTAAATTTATGTTTTTGCGTCCAGTTCTCTCGAGTTTTCGGCTCCCATTTGTCTTCTTATTGCTAATCATATTACGCACCTTTGTTTATCTCTTCCATTGTCCTCTCCCTCTAGTTCTTCTCTCCTGTCTCTCTAGTGTTTTGATGATGATGATGTTCCTACTTCCTCAGTTACTTCCCCAGTGGAGAACCGACCAGCAGTGCCCCGCAGGCTGAGGATGGAGCTGCCACCTCCTCCCGCTTCCCGGACCCGTCCGAACCCATCTATACCGACCCCGCGCTGTTCGAAAGGTGGGTTCACGAACTCCCCGGATGGACTAATTTCTCTCTCTCTCTCTCTCTCTCTCTCTCTCTCTCTCTCTCTCTCTCTCTCTCTCTCTCTCTCTCTCTCTCTCTCTCTCTCTCTCTCAGTACCACCTTTTTGCTATAGTATTCTTGCCCTTACCTCTCTCTTCACCACCTTTCCAACCCCTTTTTCCCATCACCCTATCAGTATAGTTTGCTCCCACAGTGTAGTCACCTGCTTTCGGGTAGCCTTATACTGTGAATGTATCAGTTTCTGAGTGATGGCTTGAAACACAGTATAACTTCCGACCTTCACAAACACAGCGGCCAAACATGCCGTATTTTCCATCCTTATTAAAATTCTTTTGTGAAGATTCTTCAAATTCTTTAACAATTTCCATTTTTATTTTTTACAGAATTCAAGAATTCTTTATAAAGTATATAAATAAGCTTTAACCCCACCCCCATTAATCAACCAAGCAACCCTAAAACTGTGAGTTAACCAGTGGTGCCCCTCAGGTCCTCGTCAGATCAACCAACCCGTCAACGGTACGCTGACGGTGAGGAGTAATGGAAGACGGGAGGAGGAGAAGCCGAGGAAGAAGAGGAGATGAAGGAGGAAGAAGAGAACGAGGAAATCCAGGAGGAAGAGATCCAAGAGGTAGAAGAGTATAAGGAGCGAAGTAGAGACGGAGGGAAGAGAAAAATAGTAATAGAGACGGAGAGAAGAGAAGAATAGAAGTAGAGACAGAGAGAAGAGAAGAATAGAAGTGAGAAAACGAGGGGAATAGATGAAGACATGCAAGGAAAAGAGAAGACTTAAAAATATCACGAAGAAATAAGATGAAAATATCGAAAGAAAGAATAAAAGCGGAAGACAAATAATAGAAATGAAAATATGAAGGAGAGAAAAGGAAACCAAAACGATTAAACAAAAAGTAAGAAAGAACGAAAAGAGAGAAGGCGCAGAAGACAAAAAACAACAAAAGAAACAAGAAAATTTATTTAAACTGAAGATATAATTAACAGTTATCAGAAAAAATGAAAAAAAAAAACGAGATTAGAATTAGAGGAATGAAGAAAACGAGAAGATAGTTAACCCATAGGTTTCTGGAACCCAGAGTTTTCTGAAACCCACAGGTCTCTGAAACCCACTGATTCCTGAAACTCACAGGTTCTGAAACCCACAGGTTCCTGAAACCCAGCGATTCCTGAAACTCACAGGTTTCTGAAAACCACGGGTTTCTGGAACCCACAGGTTCCTGAAACCCACCGATTCCTGAAACTCACAGGTTTCTGAAAACCACGGGTTTCTGGAACCCACAGGTTCCCGAAATCCACAGGTTTCTGAAACCCAGACTTGGGAATGAGTAACCAAGGGTAAACAGAAGAGGAGAAAGGAGAGGCGTCGATAAATAAGAACAACACGAAAGTAACACAAGAAGGGAGGCAATAAATGCCGGGAGCAACATAAACAATAATAAACGAGTAAATAAGACAAACGAAACAAAGAAAAATCCGCTAAACAAATAAAGTCAGTTTTGACTCGTCCAGTGACCTGGTCCATCAGATATTTTTCGATAAATTTTAACACAAGAGAAAAAAATATTTTTTTTATCGAAGGCAAGCGCTAAGCCCGTATGGGTCATGGAGCGGTGCCAGCAGTGAAGAAGAGCTCACGTGAAGCCTGGTATTGAGTCCCGCTGAAGCTCACTTTCTCGTGGGACTGGAAACTGAGCTTCAGTCAAGCTGAGCTCCAAGCTTCAACCAACTTCTCTCAATCCTTTCATCCAGAGTTCCAAATGCCACAAACATCATTCTTAGATTTAAGGTCTCGTAGGATTTAAGTTTTTTATACAAAAAAAAAATAGCCAGATATAAAGAGCCATTGTTACTTTGGGCTGCGTCCGAATGGCAACGATGAACCTTCCTTCCCCACACGCTGAACACCGCGAAGCCAAGTGCAGCGATTCGGACACCCCTGACGTCACCATGGCTCTCGGGCGTCGATGCTATCACACAAATTTGAACTTTATAGCCACTCCGAATAGAGACGCTTTTTTTTTCTCTCACCGAGCGTCTAAACTTTTTTTTTTTTAAATATATATATATATAAATATATTTTCAAATTTTGAAACTTTCCAAAAAAAAAATAATAATAATTTCGTTGTGATGGCATCGTTAATTAATTTTAAGGTCGAGCGTTCTGGAGAATCTCCATAAAATTTTTCACGCTTTTTTTTCACGTCTTTTATTATCCATTTTTTTATTAATTTGGTTTGGACATCTCAAAGACTATATATATATATATTATATATATATATATATATATATATATATATATATATATATATATATATATATATATATATATATATATATATATATATATATATATATAATATATATATATATATATATAATATATATATATATATATATTATTATATATATATAACACTATTAATAGAGTCATAAAAATAAATTTTCACATCATTACTATCATATTGCAAAGGTCTATTAACTTATCATTTTTAACTGTAATTAACACCCATCCTTCAATCGGCCGATTTCCACCAAGTGCAGGTTGCCCGAAAACTATAAATTTACCATTGCTCACTCCACACACGTGTCTTAAAAAGTGTGCTTTCACACTATCAAACAACTCACGCACATGTAGAAGTCCAACCCCTCGCAGATCAAACCACTTTTACCTCCCTCCAATTTCCAGGACTCAATCCGCCGCCGTTTTCCCTGGATACCCCTCTTAAATGTTATCCTTTCTCACATGTCCGAAACCCAACAACTTCCTAGTTATTAGAAACATTTGGTACTCCATCTCACTCCTAATCAACAACTACGAATGCCTGCTAAATTCCAACAGCCCTCGCATAAACCTCTCCCTGCCTCCAACCTTTCCTGTGCCGAACATCCCTACCCGCCTTCACCCATAAGAGCTGATAACATCTTATACTCTCTTTGCCTCCATTCTTCTCACAGATCCAACCACCTCAACAACCCTTCCTCAGTCCTCTGGACAACAGTTTTTGGTAATCCCGCACCTCCTCCTAACTTCCAAACTACGAATTCTCTGCATTATATTCACACCACACATTGCCCTCAGACATGACATCTCCACTGCCTCCAACCTTCTCCTCGCTGCAACATTCATCACCCATGCTTCACACCCATATAGGAGCGTTGGTAAAACTATACTCTCATACATTCCCCTCTTTGCCTCCAAGGACAAAGTTCTTTGTCTCCACAGACTCCTAAGTGCACCACTCACCCTTTTCCCCTCATCACTTCTATGATTCACCTCATCTTTCATTGACCCATCCGCTGACACGTCCACTCCCAAATATCTGAATACATTCACCTCCTCCATACTCTCTCCCTCCAATCTGATATCCAATCTTTCATCACCTAATCTTTTTGTTATCCTCATAACCTTACTCTTTCCTGTATTCACTTTTAATTTTCTTCTTTTGCACGCCCTACCAAATTCATCCACCAATCTCTGCAACTTCTCTTCAGAATCTCCCAAGAGCACAGTGTCATCAGCAAAGGGCAACTGTGACAACTCCCACTTTATGTGTGATTCTTTACTTTTAACTCCACGCCTCTTGCCAAGACCCTCGCATTTACTTCTCTTACAACCCCATCTATAAATATATTAAACAACCACGGTGACATCACACATCCTTGTCTAAGGCCTACTTTTACTGGGAAATAATTTCCCTCTTTCCTACATACTCTAACTTGAGCCTCACTATCATCGTAAAAACTCTTCACTGCTTTCAGTAACCTACCTCCTACACCTGCAACATCTGCCACATTGCCCCCCTATCCACCCTGTCATACGCCCTTTCCAAATCCATAAATGCCACAAAGACCTCTTTAGCCTTATCTAAATACTGTTCACTTATATGTTTCACTGTAAACACCTGGTCCACACACCCCCTACCTTTCCTAAAGCCTCCTTGTTCATTTGCTATCCTATTCTATATATATATATATATATATATATATATATATATATATATATATATATATATATATATATATATATATATATATATATATATACATTATTGTAACCACGAACGAGTGGTATTTAGTCAATAACAACACTGCAACTAGCCGGGGGATCGAACCCGTGTTGTTTTAACCCGCCTCATGGTGAGCGAAAATTGACGACGTTCTAACCACTGCACCATCCAATCGTACAAAGATCACGCACCCATCAGAGCTAGGTGTTGTACCGTGATCGGAGGACATAGGGTGGTGTGGTTGCCTCAGAGCTAATTTCACCCAATTCCCCATTTGGTTTACTAGCCTCCACAAGCAGGATTCACGACGCTCTAACCCACTGCACCATACAACCCTACAAAGATCACAAATGTGTGAGCTCACATATTTGTGGTTGCAGGGATCGATTCACAGTTCCTGGCCCCGCCTCTTCGCTGGTTGCTAATAGGGCCACTCTCTCCCTGCTCCATGAGCTTTGTCGTACCTCTTCTGAAAGCTGTGTATGGATCCTGCCTCCACTACATCACTCTCCAGATTGTTCTAGTGTTCCTGTGTGTGATCAACCTGCTGTTGTACATCTTAAATGTAACACATTAAATGTAAAGGGAAAGATAAGAAATGAGATAAAAGGTTGGTTTGAAACCCACTTTAAGAATTGACACCCACCTTAGAACTAGAAACCCACCATAGAACTAGAAACCCACCTTAGAACTAGAAACTCACCTTAGAACTAGAAACCCACCTTAGAACTAGAAACCCACCTTAGAACTAGAAACCCACCTTAGAACTAGAAACCCACCTTAGAACTAGAAACCCACCTTAGAACTAGAAACCCACCTCAGAACTAGAAACCCACCTTAGAACTAGAAACCCACCTTAGAACTAGAAACCCACCTTAGAACTAGAAACCCACCTTAGAACTAGAAACCCACCTTAGAACTAGAAACCCACCTTAGAACTAGAAACCCACCTTAGAACTGGAAACCCACCTTAGAACTAGAAACCCACCTTAGAACTAGAAACCCACCTTAGAACTAGCAATCCACCTTAGAAACTAGAAACCCACCTAATAGAAACTAGAAACCCACCTTAGAACTGGAAATCCACCTTAGAACTAAAATCCACCTTAGAACTAGAAACCCACCTTAGAACTGAACCACTTAGAACTAGAAATCCACCTTAGAACTAGAAACCCACCTAGAACTAGAAACCCACCTTAGAACTAGAAACCCACCTTAGAACTAGAAACCCACCTTAGAACTAGAAACCCACCTTAGAACTAGAAACCCACCTTAGAACTAGAAACCCACCTTAGAACTAGAAACCCACCTTAGAACTAGAAACCCACCTTAGAACTAGAAACCCACCTTAGAACTAGAAACTCACCTTAGAACTAGAAACCCACCTTAGAACTAGAAACCACCTTAGAACTAGAAACCCACCTTAGAACTAGAAACCCACCTTAGAACTAGAAACCCACCTTAGAACTAGAAACCCACCTTAGAACTAGAAACCCACCTTAGAACTAGAAACCCACCTTAGAACTAGAAACCCACCTTAGAACTAGAAACCCACCTTAGAACTAGAAACCCACCTTAGAACTAGAAACCCACCTTAGAACTAGAAACCCACCTTAGAACTAGAAACCCACCTTAGAACTAGAAACCCACCTTAGAACTAGAAACCCACCTTAGAACTAGAAACCCACCTTAGAACTAGAAACCCACCTTAGAACTAGAAACCCACCTTAGAACTAGAAACCCACCTTAGAACTAGAAACCCACCTTAGAACTAGAAACCCACCTTAGAACTGAAACCCACCTTAGAACTAGAAACCCACCTTAGAACTAGAAACCCACCTTAGAACTGAAACCCCCCTTAGAACTAGAAACCACCTTAGAACTAGAAACCCACCTTAGAACTAGAAATCCACCTTAGAACTAGAAACCCCTTAGAACTAGAAACCCACCTTAGAACTAGAAACCCACCTTAGAACTAGAAACCCACCTTAGAACTAGAAACCCACCTTAGAACTAGAAACCCACCTTAGAACTAGAAACCCACCTTAGAACTAGAAACCCACCTTAGAACTAGAAACCCACCTTAGAACTAGAAACCACCTTAGAACTAGAAACCCACCTTAGAACTAGAAACCCACCTTAGAACTAGAAACCCACCTTAGAACTAGAAACCCACCTTAGAACTAGAAACCACCTTAGAACTAGAAACCCACCTTAGAACTAGAAACTCACCTTAGAACTAGAAACCCACCTTAGAACTAGAAACCCACCTTAGAACTAAAACCCACCTTAGAACTAGAAACCCACCTTAGAACTAGAAACCCACCTTAGAACTAGAAACCCACCTTAGAACTAGAAACCCACCTTAGAACTAGAAACCCACCTTAGAACAGAAACTCACCTTAGAACTAGAAACCCACCTTAGAACTAGAAACCCACCTTAGAACTAGAAACCCACCTTAGAACTAGAAACCCACCTTAGAACTAGAAACCCACCTTAGAACTGAAACCCACCTTAGAACTAGAAACCCACCTTAGAACTAGAAACCCACCTTAGAACTGGAAACCCACCTTAGAACTAGAAACTCACCTTAGAACTAGAAACCCACCTTAGAACTGGAAACCCACCTTAGAACTGGAAACCCACCTTAGAACTGGAAACCCACCTTAGAACTGGAAACCCACCTTAGAACTGGAAACCCACCTTAGAACTGGAAACCCACCTTAGAACTAGAAACCCACCTTAGAACTAGAAACCCACCTTAGAACTAGAAACCCACCTTAGAACTAGAAACTCACCTTAGAACTAGAAACCCACCTTAGAACTGAGAAACTCACCTTAGAACTAGAAACCCACCTTACAACTAGAAACCACCTTAGAACTGAAACCCACCTTAGAACTAGAAACCCACCTAGAACTAGAAACCACCTAGAACTAGAAACCCACCTTAGAACTAGAAACCACCTTAGAACTAGAAACTCACCTTAGAACTAGAAACCCACCTTACAACTAGAAACCCACCTTACAACTAGAAACCCACCT